ATCCATATCGAAATCGCAACAAGAATCCACATTATTCCTTTTATAGTTACATATTAAGCGTCTCTCTGAGTCCCTGAATGCGTTTAGAGCATAACGTAACGAAATTGTCACCTTATTCATCCCTTTATACAATAAAATAAGGAAAAAAATGTTTACTACAAACCTTTGTCGTCCGAAGTTCTAAGTCTAGACCCGCCCAAAGCCTTCTGGGTAAGAAACATGGCGGCGTTCCATTTGCGTCGGAAATAACGAAATGTAGTCGCAATAAGAGCACGTTTTTTATTGATAAATCACAGCACGCCAGCAGATTAAGGTTAGGAAAGGAAACTTTATTAAGCTTTCTTGTTCACCAGTATGTTAAACTGAAGGTACGAGCGATATTTGTCTGCTATTCCTGTAAACAAGGGCACGATGTCTCCCTCCCACGGCGTAGTTCGGCCGTCGTAATAAAGGCCAATAATTGTCTGACCTCGTCCTCTTCGTATGCATGAGTGCCAAGTCCCACGCGGCACGGTACTGAACTCCTGGGTGTTCAACCTGTGCATACCTAAAGGGATAACTGATAGTGCATTGGTATATCTCTCGCTGTACACCGTTTTCTAGCGTGACGGATAAAGGTACTTTGACGGATAAAGGTCAATGGATGTTACATTATTAGGTGTACCGGTGTAATAAATTGCAATACATGCATTACTGTTTTGCAAGTTGTAACTTGTTGTTGTTTCTTTTAAATTCCAGGTACATATGACTGCTTTTGTTATAAAAGTTAATGGAGTTAAATGTTGATAATCAGCTACACAAAATCAAGGCAAGATCAACAGTGTGCAACTTTGGTACCATGTTCGACTGGAGGGGGGGAGGGGGGAACAAAGTTTTTCCTAAAATTATGACACATTTTACCTCAGATCAACAAACGTTTGTGGCTTAAAACAAAGAATAAGACGTTCTTGTATGTTCCACCTACCTTATACTTGTTATAAGTGAACAAAACTGTCTAAAAACGACGTGAAACGACTTTCAGTTCGCAAAATCGTTCGCAGAAGGCGCCATTTTCGAACAGCATGTGAAACCAGTTACTGCGCATCAGAACTGCGCAACTTTTCCCATCGACCAACCAGAGAGCCGTTTCCATCT